AAAGGGGCAATGAGAAATGGATTCTGCAAGGGGATTTTAATACAAATTACTTCCATGGGTGTGCTAATGGCAGGAGAAAATGCCATGTTTTCTACGGAAGAGGGATTTGAGGTTATTACTGACCAACGAAAAAGATACAGGAGCACATATATTCATTGTACAAACAATTATTTGGTTCAAAGCAGAACAAGTCCACCTCAATTTGAACTGAGGGGGGCAAATTGAATAGTTTTAAAAGTTAAGGATGAACAGTGTTTTATCGGGGTAAATTGAATGGTTTTAGAAGTTAAGTGGTGAATAGTGCATGGTATATGAATTGAACATATCATGCATCACAACTGGCGAAGTAACTTAAATTTAACACAAGTATTGAAAGTAGCTAATACCATTGGTGACAAAAAGTCGACCTCATGTTCAATGAGATGCCTGATCATTCTTGAAAATCCTCTGTATGTATTAGGCGGATCTGTTAGGCTTGCAGCAAAAATCCATGAAGGCCTTGTGGAACTCCAATTAAAACTTGCATCCAGCCATTCAGGAGCTTGCACATTTTGCATCATTGAAGCTGCTTGTGTTGAATCTTGTGCTTGTATACCTTCCTTTGGCCAATGTGTCATTGCGTGAAAGTCAAACACAAGCATGTTTTCAAACTTTTTCCTCACTGTCAGAAGAGCGCTGTGGTCTAATATGTCCATCCTACAAAAGAGGAATTGAAAGAAAGAAATGAATGAATAAATTTTTGTTTCACTCCACTATTGGATAAGAGGATTTTATAATGAAATCCTTACCCTTTCAAATTGCCAGATGACAACGAAGTATATAGATCGCGTGCCTCAGGGGTCCAAAGCCCTGTTAGCTTAAGCAATGTACCAAGATTTTTCCAATCTTGGTCTTTGTCATCATCTTCATTTGCAACAATGGAACAAACAATTAAAAACACCACAGCAGTTCAGGTAATTTCATTTGTCATATGAAACTTACTTACCAGATTTACACTTCTCAAAATTCCAAATCTTTGCACACATGGAATTGTGTTGTTTCATCACCGCGATGTTCTCACCTTTCAGATTACTGCAACAGAATCCGGCGTTGTGTAATGCAATCATAGCCCTTACAATCTGGCTGTTATAAAAAGTAACAAATGTTAGTCAATGAGAAACCTGAGTACCTGACTAAAAAAAATTAGTAACATCATCTGCCTAAGGAGGAGAAAAGTACACTAGCACTCCTTCCTAATGGCCATCTTTCCATGGTTTGATTAAGCTGATAAGCCTGAGTGGGATATGTGTCAATAGTAATAGACTTATAGGGAATATCTAACTAAATTCTCTTGGCTTATTATACTCATAATAGGACGATCCAATTACCATTGGTGCTATATGAGTTAATGCATGTGCCATTAGTCCACTACCCTAACTTTTTTTGTAACAGAAAAGCCTTAAAAATAATTCACTTCCACCATTCATCCATTCTGTTTCTCCTTATAACACTTAACCAACAATTAATTGCTCATTTGTTTAAAAAAACATGCAGATAATCATCCATATAAAAATGGAAATATAGATATATAAAGGTGGTAGTACATACCCAACAATGTCAATGAATTCCACTGTGAGTCTATCCATATGAATGCACAGACTCCGTTCCTTTGGAAGATACTCCGCGAGCGTGGTATCAAAAAAAGGAACAGCGAGGAATGTATATCTGGAGTGCTTTCCTAGTCCTCTTCCATAGCCTAAGCTCCTAATCACATAAGGATGGCTCAAACAGTTTAGATGATCGTGTGCAGTTTTCGCTGTATCACCTTCAAAACAGAAAACAGTTGCCTTGACTCCGGGTAACCTTTCCATTTCACCACCAGATTTCGCTTCACCAACAAAATACTGAAGAGAATTTCTATGATTACTCATTTTCTTGCTATTGAAATCTGTGATAAGTATCTCCGTATGCCCATCAACCTACAAATATGCAAATATGATGCCAATTTTAGGTGAAGGCCGGAACAGCAAAACTACTAGAGCTAACAATTTCCGTTTTTTTGACAAATTGACCCTTTTGGAAAACTTATTTCGAAACTAACCCCTGCCAAAAACTTCAACCAAAAATAGGCCGTCGCCTCAGCGCCAAACACATTGGCGCTGACGTTGGCCATGTAAGCGCCAACGGGACTGGCGCTTACATTGTGCCACCGTGGCGGCCGGGCCGATCCCCTAGCTGACGTGGCAGCTACCTCAGCGCCAACCGCTTCGGCGCGGAGGTGCCCAACCTCAGCGCCAATCGGACTGGCGCTGAGGTGGGACTTGGCCGCAACCCCCAGGCCCAGACCAGCAAGCCGTCTGGATGGCTTGCGGGCTGGGACCTCAGCGCCAGCCATAATGGCGCTGACTGTGGGAAACTCGGCGCCAGGTTGGCTGGCGCTGAGGATGGACTTGGCCGTTTCGGCCTTGGCCCAGCCCAGCAAGCCTTCTGGATGGCTTGCGGGCTAGGACCTCAGCGCCAGCCATAATGGCGCTGACTGTGGGAATCTCAGCGCTAGCCGAGCTGGCGCTGAGGTGGCACTTGGCCGTTTCGGCCTTGGCCCAGCCCAGCAAGCCTTCTGGATGGCTTGCGGGCTAGGACCTCAGCGCCAGCCATAATGGCGCTGACTGTGGGAAACTCAGCGCCAGCCGAGCTGGCGCTGAGGTGGCACTTGGCCGTTTCGGCCTTGGCCCAGCCCAGCAAGCCTTCTGGATGGCTTGCGGGCTAGGACCTCAGCGCCAGCCATAATGGCGCTGACTGTGGGAAACTCAGCGCCAGCCGAGGTGGGACTTGGCCGTTTCGGCCGTGGTCCAGCCCAGCAAGCCTTCTGGATGGCTGGGCTGGAACCTCAGCGCCAGGTGCACTGGCGCTGAGTTTGGACATGTCAGCGCCATTTTGCATGGCGCTGACGTCCCAGCCCTGCCAAACTTTAGCAAAACTTTGCACACAACACAGGCAAACATCAAATGACAGAAATTTACAGGCAGTAATATATCCAGAGAACCATACAAAACATACATCCATCCATCAATCCCAACATCATTCCATACATCCATAGATCACCAATCCATACATCATTCCAACATCATTCCATACATTCCATACATCATTCCATACATCAATCCCAACCATGCACTCACCTCCTCCTACCTCTAGTGCGAGGACGAGGCACGTCGGGGGTGTACCTCCAGTCCTGCGAAGGAGCCCGCCGGCGTCGTGGTCGAGACGGGCCGGGCTGCGAGATATCCGGCTGTGACGACTCTGGTGCGTCCTCTAGCTGCGAGGGACCGAGCTCATCCGCCTCCTCTTCTCTGTCCTCATCCCCTTCTTCCTCCTCATCTCCTTCCTCCGCCTCTTTGTCTTGCTCGCCCTCCTCGTCACCCACCTCCCCTTCTTCATCCCCCTCTTGGTGGGCATGAGCATGTTCGACCACATCAGTCGACCTGCAGCCGAGCCTTGCTGCCAACTTCCGACATCGCTGCCGTAGTCTCTGCATAAAAAATAATCCATGTTAAGTTATCGCTTTTGGAAGAAAACACCGTAGTTTCATCTCTTTCCAACGATTACCTGTAGGGCGTTGCGGAGGGTGCCGCCCTCTCCTTCGGAGCCAGGAGTCGTGCCTAGCGCCACTCCCGCGTCGTTGACGGTCCGCAAGAGCTCTCGAGCCTGTAGGATTCAAATGAAGTAAGTCACAACATATATGGCATTGAAATGAAATAATATACAACATTAATGCTAGAAACTAACCACTCTGTCGCGAACAGGTCCCGTCTCGACCGTGGTACCTAGACGGGTACGAGTATCGTACTCGTTTTCCTCCTCAACATCCTCGGGGTCATCCGCTATGTCGGCTAGTGTCCAAGCCGGACGTAGGACAAGACGGTAGGTCCTGTGGAGCCACGCCAAGTACAAGTCGAACTCCGTCCCGTTGTGCTGACCCTGGTCTGGTACTCCATTCTCCTCGAACTTCTCCCATTGCGTGATATGATCCTGATGGTAGTAAGCCCAATCAGTCACCTTCTTGTTCTTCCGACGGTCCACCCTGCACGTATGCGAAATGTCCAACTCAAATATGTAGTAAATGTTGAAGTGACTGATTGGGCAAGCAAAATAAATTGTTAAGTGAAATTACTAACTTGTGTAGGTCGATACTCGTGGAGAAACGGTGCGGGATTGTTTGAAGCCTCCCGAATTGGCGCATCACGCGGTGGCACATCTGGAACTCCACTGCATAGAAGCAGATCAGTGGGCACCGTAGGGTCTTCAACGCATCCTCTATATGGCACATGGGATTCAGCTCTAGCTCGAGCACTTCCTGTGCCTGATATGGCATCCACACCACCTGCAGCAACAAAAATAAAACACATTGAAGCACAGTTAGTACTATATAGTAAGAAACCATCTTCATGTGTCATAGAACCCCGAATAGCTTACATGTTCTGGCTGTAGGTAGTCCATCTCGTTTGTGTAGTGGTAGTACGCCAAATTCCTGCGGCCTACTACTGGAGATGGGACCGATTCCCACAGGTGAGCTACAGTGGGACGTCGGTCTGCATCCTGGTGCGGCCAAGCCTGATGGGTCCTCCACATGGGCCGACCAACTGGAAGCCTCATCCACATCCAAACCTGCGTCACATACGTTAGGTTCAAACATGTTAGCAAGAAATTGAAATGTTATGAAACATAACATGCGTGAACTTACCTGTAGCAACCAAACACAGCCTGCTAGGTTCGCGTCCCCGCCTTGCCTTCGGCAAGCATCACAGAGTTGCCGGTACAACCAGGCTAGGGCAGCCGACCCCCAGCTGAAGGTACCCGCCTCGTCCCAGTCCGCGAGCAACGGCAGCCACATCCAAGAAGCCATGTCTCCACCAGAGTCAGGGAACAGAATACTGCCGAAGATGTATAGCACGTACGCCCTGCAGTATCGCTGTACTGTAGCCTCGTCTGCCTCAGCGGGACACTGACCTAAGTTGGCTCGCAACCAACTCAAAGGAACCCCTGATGTCTTCGTCTGCCTCTGACCATCAGGTGCCACTGGAGGCTCCAGACCAAGGTACTCCACGACCCTCTCCCTCCAGTTCCCCGAAGCTGTGTCACCTGTAACCGGAAATTAAATGGAATCATTAGTAATTGCAAAAAAATTAACAAATGAATACGAAGACTCGTTAGTAATTCCCTGACGCTGTGTCACCTGTGACCGCCTGACCCCGGATAGGAAGACCCAGGATCATGGCGACGTCCTCCAGAGTGACCGTCAGCTCCCCGCACGGTAGGTGGAAGGTGTGTGTCTCTGGACGCCACCGGTCCACTAGGGCCGTCAGAGCAGCGGCGTTGTACAGAGGCACCGGTCGCTGCGCCATGGTCACGAACGCCAAGAGCTTCGCCCGCCGTATGTACGGGACGTACCGGTCGTCGAACAGTATGTGCGCCGTGTGACCTCTGACTCGAAGGGTCTTCAAGCGCTGCATCAATAGACAAACATAATAACATGTTAGTGACTCCCAGGTGTCAAAGTACATCATCCATCTATTACCTGATGACTATGGATGACATGATGGTTGATCTATCTGTACAAACTAAAATCAAAGAAGAAAAAATAAATTCGATCATAAAAAAAATGGAATATTGTTGATGCTAACCTCTCCGCTGGCAATCTGTGGGGCCCGGTGCTTCTCCTCGTAGAAATCCTCCAACCCCGGAAAGTGCTCCATCCTGCAAATGAAAATGGAATCATTAGTAATTGAAAAAATATTAAATGGAAAAATCACAATGAGGCCGGAAAGGAGGACAACAGAAAGTAAACATTGAAGCAACAATATGAACTTAGCAAATGAATGTCATCCAATCCCACCTGTGTGCTACCCTCACCACCTCCCCCCGTCCTACGGCGCTTTTTCGGTCGATCCTTAGACTTGTCTCGCTTCGGGCACCTAGTTTTCTTATGGCCTAGTTCGTGGCATAGCGAGCATCTATTTTGCATGACCGGCTCTGAATTTGTATTGTTCGGCTTTTGTGACCGTCGGTTGGCTGAGCTTTTGTATGCTTTGTCCATATCGTTCTTGAACCTTCTTGTCCTTCTTCTTCCTCGTGTGTTGTTCTTTAACGACAAGTCGGGCACGAAGAACTCTCCATCATAACTTGGCCACTGCGATGGATCTAGGTAAGGTTCAAACCTAGGGGAGTACGAGTCCTGCACAGCCTTATTGGAAGCTTCATAACACATTCGGGGGGCCACCTCCACATCCAAACCTCGCAACTTACAAACGGTTATCATGTGGGAGCATGGCAAGTGATGGAGCTGAGGGAACTGACAACTACATGTGTTATCTCTCGCAACCACGACGTAGTGACGTCCACCCCATTGAACCCCAGCCGCCGTGACTCCGCCTTGCTCGCTGACCTCATACTTCATCGAAGGGAAATCAAAACATGCTGCTCTTTGCCCCAAGGTTCGTCTTTGCTGCTCCTCCAACATGTCCTTAACTTTTGTGGGCCACTTCTTTCCACACAGGATATCTACAGTTGCCTCTTTATGTCTATCGACAAACCAACTATTGCACTTCGAAAATGTGTATGCCACAATAGCTGTAACCGGCAGTTTCCGAATGCCTCTCAATACATTATTGAAACTCTCGGCCATATTACTAGTCATGATGCTATGACGACGCCCGTTGGTATCAAATGCTCTTGCCCATTTGACCTTAAGTGGCATATGGTCTTCTAGCCACTTCTTTGGCCTCTCTCCGACCACACCCATGAGGCGTTTTATCTCATCTAGGAACAATGCTTTCTCATTTATTTGACATATGCGCTCAAGATCTTTCATCTGATCAGTCGTAGCTCCAGCTGTGTAGAAGTTAGCACAGAAGTGCCTCATGCACCACCTGTGGTGAATGGTTAGGTGATGAGGCATGATGTGGATGATGGAGTTCAAAATGCCAGGGTGTCTATCAGAAATTATACACACTTCTCTATTAGGACCGATCAACTTGTTTCTCAACATGTTGATGAACCACTCCCAGTTGGATGTATTCTCCTTCTCTACCAGAGCAAACGCCAAGGGAACAAGATGTAACCCGGCGTCGACCCCTATTGCCGTGAGCAATGTACCTTGGTATTTACCGGTTAAGAAAGTGCCATCAATTGCTAGCACCGGCCTCAAGTGCTTGAATGCTTCTATGGACTGGCCAAATATCCAATATGCACGTCCAAATACTCGCCTCTGTACTCCATCCACCATCCTGGACTTCTCGGAATGAGCCTCAACACGGAAATGCATGGTAGGGTTCTTTGCTTTGATGGCACGCATCAGTGTAGGCAAGCGAACATACGCCTCGTCCCAATCTCCCCAAATGACCTTCATAGCAACTTGCTTAGCACGCCATGCTTTGCCATACGTAGGCCGATAGTGCCATATTTGCTCAACTGCCTCGACAATCGCTGCTGGAGATAAAGTTGGTTCAGCTCGCACAAATGCCTGCAACCTGTTTCCAATAAACCTTGAAGTAAGTTGCAAATGCTTGCCGGTTACTTCCGCACTACAGCATGTGTGGTCTTCGCCCACCCTAGTCACCCGCCACCTATCTCCTCCACTCTTCCTTGCATTAATCTGCCATTTGCAATGGCGATCGAGACAAGCCACAGTATACTTTACTGACGCGTTAGATTCCTTCACATGGTACGGCCGGTGGACACGGATAGAATAACTCTGTAGCCATATTTTCAGATCATCCATCGATCGAAACTCCAACCCCTTCCTTGGTTCATCACATATTGGTTCGAAGGCACCGTCATATTGTGGATCCCCATCAGCAATTGCTAGCCCAGATCTGGTAAGATCCTCGAATTGAGTTATTTCCGGGTTTCTACCCACCAGTTTCGCAAACACAGTCCTTTCATGCTCTGACATCTTACGCACTGGACGATCATCATCGGAGTCGGAAGCGGACTCATCCAATTCATCCTCTGTATCATACTCCAACCAGCCTGGGTTCAATCCACTGCGTATCATAGCCTCCTCACACTCCTCTCGGGTATAGAATTTCAGCCTAGCCAACTCCCTTAGGCCCATACTTACATTCTTAGCATTCGCTTCTTCCTCAGGCAACTCCACATCATCTCCTACCTCCCGACCATCCTCAACATCTCCTTCCTCTCTTACCGGCACATTCTCCTCCACATTGACTTCCTCCCTTAACGGCACATTATCCTCTGCATGTACTTCTTCCCTTAACGGCACATTCTCCTCTGCATGTACTTCCTCCCTTACCGGGTCATTCTCTTCCCTGACCTCCACATCCGCCATATCATTTACTCCCTCGCCCCCCTCCACGTCTTCCTCAATCAATTCTTCCTTCCTACTACACCTCTCCGACAGTTCGTGACAGCTAATGGGTGATTCTATGAGTGGACTTTCATTAGGGTCTATAAGTTCTTTCTTCCCTATCCTACCATCTTTCTTCCATGCAAACACCTCAAGAGATTTGAAATGTGACCCCAATACTATATCTATATATGTTTGCCATTCGATCTCTCCATTCAAGTCTAACATAAATTTATGTGACATGACACCGCCGCCCACATCGTATCTCCCTTGCATACCAACCGACTCATCATTCCAATCCAATTCATGCTTGATGCGAGACATTAACTCCTCAAAGGTAGGCTTCGCAAAAAACACTAATTGTCTAACTGTCATTCCCTCAAATTGGCTTCCATGTGTACTTTCATCTACCACACAACCACCATAATGAAGCCGGACCAATCTATCCATCTACAATTTTTAACCCATGCATAAACATTAATTACATGAAAATAATATGTAATTACCATTGCAATACCAATACTTCAAAAGCTAACAAAATGTCTTATTTTTCCAATAAATAAGTACATTACTCAAATACTACACATTATTGATAAAAAAAAACTCTACTCCTACAAATTACCTACCCTTCACCACACATCAACCCCTTTCAAACTCTCTCAATCACCACAAATCCATCCCACATCCTAGGCCATCACCACACATCCATCTCCCATCAAACCCTAGTGCATCACCAAACATCCATCCCAAATATATTTTGTCAAATGTATCAATAACAACCAAATGGATAAAGATATGCCACCTCCACACTTCATCCCCACCCATATTATCCATCTAATAATCCATCCTTAGCCAACTATTATCAAACCACGTCTACAACCAAAACAATGCAAAATATCCAATAAAACTTTGGGGAACTTAGGGTTTATAGAGGGGTTTACCTTCTCTTCCGATCCCAAACTCAATGCCGCACAAATCACCTTCGATTAGAGAGGTTTTTGGGGGAGATTGGGCGAGGAGAACGCGGTGGCGACCGAACCCTAGGCGGGCGGCTGGGGAAAAAACGGAGGAAGAACTGGCTGGGGCGGCCTCGGCCGGGCTCTAAGTAGCCAAGGTCAGCGCCAACTTACTTGGCGCTGAGGTTGGGCACCTCCGCGCCGAAGCGGTTGGCGCTGAGGTAGCTGCCACGTCAGCTAGGGGATCGGCCCGGCCGCCACGGTGGCACAATGTCAGCGCCAGTCCCGTTGGCGCTGACACGGCCAACCTCAGCGCCAATGTGCTTGGCGCTGAGCCGACGGCCTAGTTTTGGTTGAAGTTTTTGGCAGGGGTTAGTTTCGAAATAAGTTTTTGAAAAGGGTCAATTTGTCAAAAAAACGGTAACAATTTAGGAGATAAATCCGTAATGTTAGGTCCTTTTTTTGGCATGGAACCTTACTCCATGCCCTGTATATAGTTTTCTCCTCTTTTAACACATACGAGGCAAACCTTTTGCCCTTCCTTCAAAAAAAAAAAAGAAAAGAAAAAAAGAGAAAAGTGTTGCAAAGAATTACTTACCAGAATTGGACATGTCGCAATCCTGCACTTGACCATCGTGAAACCGTGTTTCTGTTAGAACAATAATAACCGCTTGCAATGAGTAATCTTTTACAGGAAAAAGAAGATGGAAATTATTTAAGCGTCGATGGAGTTGAAACGAATGCACATACAGCAGGCTTGACTTAGGGCGGGGATTGGCCCGGCGAGGCTTTCACGGTGGGGACTGGGGAAAAGGTCGAGCACCGGCGACGAGAGGGCGCCCCCTGTCGAACCACTGGTACGAGAAGAAGAGACGACGCTGGTCGAGGTGGGCGAGCGGGCGGCGCGGCTGGTGCGGGCCGGCCGAGAGGTCCGCGCGTCGGGCGGGCCCTCGAAGTGGAAGCCGTACGGCGACGGAGGGAGCGAAATGGAGGGCCTCGGTGGTGGCCGCCGTCGGCGACGGCGGCGGCGGCTAGGGCTGGGCGGTTGGCGGAGTTTGTGAATTTGCGATTCGGGGCTTCGGCCGCTTAGCGAACGCAAACGGGCACGCGGATTCCTCCGAGAACCGGACTTTTTTTACAATCTGGTCCTTTATGAACATTCTTTTTTCTAATAACCCCCTGTCCGGCGTGGCGTCTGCTAACCGCAATTTACCATTGGTGCCGAAACACGCCACCCGGGCAGCGAGGCCTAGTCGCCGACATCCGGATGAACCCTCTTTCCTCCCCCTTCAAGGCGAGAGACTGTGTGGAGAGAATCGGATTTAACAAACGGGGCTTTTAACTATTTATCACTTGTAGATTTGGCAAATAACTATTTGTCACCCCTACCTCAATGACATGTGGGTCTATATATGTCTATGACATGTGGGCTCAGTGGCAAAAAATTAATTGCCACATCTAAATGTGGCAAATGGTTAAATATCTCTTAACGGGTGGTGTAAGCCCCGTAGTACGATAGCTGGAGCACTAATCTTGGAAGAAATCGGATGGCCACAAAATCGGCTGACAAAAGGAAAAAAAAACAGCAGAGGCAACTCGAATATCTTCCCCGTCCCTTGCGTAAAAAGGAAAATCTCCCGTCCCGTCTCGCAGGCTCCTCGCGGCTGAACAGTGGAGGGGCGCTGATCTCCATCTGGCGAGCGGAGCAGGGGAGGAGAGGGGATCCTGGTGAGCATCCCCATCCTCTTTCTGATTCATCTCTCTCCCGCCGGGAGTAATTTGCTTGCGTTAACCCTAGCTCTTCTATATCTGCCTCTTTCTGATTCATCTCTCTCCCGCCGGGAGTACTTTGCTTGCGTTAACCCTAGCTCTTCTATATCTGGAAGAAGATCTTCTCTTAATTTCAGAGCCTAAACCTTAATACAAGTAACAGTTTGTTTGTTCCCCAAAAGTTTGGGGGTCCCAAGTTGGATCCGCCCCTGCGCACAAGTGTTAAACTTATTTGCATTTACATGTTTATGATATATCTGTGTAATAAGACTATTATTTTCTTACTCAAATGTCAGTCTAATTACTTTTTGTTTCTTTCATAATTGTATATTTCGGATGAATCATATACAATTTACACCTACATGTGTAGTTCAACTTGCAATTTGATACATGTAGTGCTGTACTCTGTTTGGTATAAATTTCTTAATCTTTCTCTTGAATGAATCCACCGGTAGGAGAAAATGGTGATGATGAATTTTTAATGCTCGCCAGTTGCACAACCAAAAGAAATTCTCAAATGGACGTGGCTCCTGTTGAACAGGATCAGGTGTTATTTTTATCTTGTGTTCATTTCCATTCCATGTAACAAGTTATCTTTGCAGAAACTGACTTTTTACTTTCCCAATCCCATTTATTTTGTTTCTATGTTCATTAGGGTCTAATGAAAATCAACAGCAGTGACTGCTCTGGCGATGGTGCAAGCTGTGAGAATGAAACTAATTACACTGATCATGGCAAACAGTCAAATGAGCTTGGTCATGCAAGAATATCGGTAAGCACATTATTGTTCCATTTGCTCTCAGTAGTCTGCACTTTGTCTGATATTGGTCTGTATTAATACTTGAAGAAAATAAGTTCTCTCTAGCATGCTTTGAAATGCGGGGACATGCCCAATTCTAACACTTAGATTAGGACACTTAAATCAACTTTGAAATTTTCCAAATATTTTACTGAGATAGGATCCAAAATCATTGTGTAACGATAAAAAAGAGGAGAAATTTGTTGTGAACAGTTATTTTCTCTCTTCCATTTTAAATATCAATCATACTTTTTACTCATTTCTTTTTGCACAAGTTGTTTTGAGCATGAATTTTCTACTCTTGCCGATGACTGTTAGGTGTACTAATGGCTGTCTCGTTAGTTTTTCTTTTGAATTGTATGTTACATCCTATTATTGCTGAAACCACTTATTGGTCCTGGATCGAAACACAGCATCTATGAAACTTAGGCCCCATGGTCATAGTAGTAATCATCATCTAGTGCCTCATATTTGCATAAGTGATTACATGTTATGTTGCATGTGGATATGGTTCCTTGAACTTAATATGAACCAGATCAAACTTTCCAGCATGCACTTGTGCAAGTTTATGGATGCTCATGTTGAGTTATCAAGTTCATAAACCAAACAGAACATCGTGCAAACTTAATAACCTAGTGTACAATCCAATAAATTTTAGTATCTGGAATCTTTTTGTTTGGGAGACTTTGATTAGTCATATTTTTTTATGCATATCTCCTATTTTGAAGGTGTTCTGTTCATTACACAGGTTACTGGTGGGGGTTATTTTCATCAGCTGCTTGCTGAGCATACCATTATCTCTGAAGCATTTCTTTCTGCAGCAACCTATTCATGGTACGTGAAACTGACATGACCTACAGTTACATTGCTAGATATGAAGTGTATGATTCGCCTTTTGAATGCAGGTTTGAGAAAGAGAAAGATTTGCTTTCCTCCCAGCTTAGTTCTTTGAAAAGAATTTGGTCACAACCTCAGTGGCAAGCTTGCCTAAAGCACTTATGCTGTCATGGTGAATTTAGGAGTGCTGTGCTGAAAATTATAAAAATATTTGAGGAAGAGCTTTCAAAGTGCAGAGAAGAGACCAATATGTTACATCAACCAGACCAAATAAGCCATTCAACTTTAATGTCCCTTGTTTCATTGATCATTCCTCCACTACTTAAGGTAAATATCATATAATTCTGTCAGTTTAATTAGATTAGTTGAATATTATAAGTCTTAACAGTTGTTTGTATTGCTAATAACAACACTTAAGAATTGAATATGACTGTTGAATTTCAGTTGATTCGATTTGTACATGCACTATGGATGGATGGAGCTGTACTTAGATTCCCAGAAGAACTTATAGAAGCTAGAAAGATGAAAAATGTTGATCAGATCTTGAGATTCCGAGGAGAAACACTGGAATTTCTAGATGTTTGGCCTGAAGAGTTGGAAGAGGGATTAGCACAATGGTTACAGCTAATCCGAGAGAGTGGGTACGCATATTGTTTATGATAGCTGATTTAGATTCTTTTTTTTTCGGTGTTTTTGCCTTTGTTTTGTTTCCTGCTGTCAGAGAATGCTTACTACTGAGAAGTAGGTTTCATGAATTGCACCAACGTTTTCATTTTTCTTCAGAAGTATGTATTTCCTTGAGTCAAATTAGTTACTGCAGGAATGAACTTGATTTGTTTAATAGGCATGTTCTCTTTAATTTAGATTTAGAGAGAATGAGAGGAAGGAGATCCACAGGTCAAGTGGTAGAGGGGGAGAGAGCGAGCGTGAACTTACCCTGGCCTAGGTTCTACCGCCTATATCACCAGCCTAGTCACCTTGCAGTTGCTCACCTCTATTTGGTTTGAGTGTAGTGGATTTGATTGGAACTCTTCTTTGTTTCCACCAGATTTGATGCCACAATTCTGGGTTTCTGAGTTTATTGGTTTGACTGGATCTTTCTCCATTGCTTATTACAGTGCTTATTGAGGGAAGGCAAGTAATAATAGGAGGGAGACCGTATTTGTGTGTGTTGTATGGGGTGGTCCAGGGTGTCTAATCTACCCTTGTTAACTGTATGCACCTTGTCCATAGTAATGCATCACTCATTTTCTGATGACAGCTATTTAGTGGCAATTCCATCACATCTTGTCCAAAAAAATGATTAGCATTATATATGTAATTAGGTCAATGGAGGCAATGATTTTATTTGTGAACTGAGGTAGTAGTGCAAAAAAGTTATCATATATTTAGCCATATGCTGGTGCCTAGTTGGTAAATTTACAATGCAGTAATATTTAAGTATAAATGATACTGAATGAATCATAATTTGAATGTTATGCATAATCTAGTGTAATTACCATGTAGAAATTCATTTCTGTTTGAGTGTTCAACTTTCCGTTTTGCTCATATTTTGGCATGTCATGAAACTGTGTTTTCATGTGCTGCACATGAGCACATCCTATTAGTGGGAGTGACTCACTTGCAAAAAAAGAAGGGAGAGGAGAAACAATAGAAACATTTTGTAACCTTAAATTGTATGTACCATGTTAGCTGTTAGCACTGAAATTATTTAGTTATAAATTTTATTTTTTTCCATAGAGCTTTTTCATGTCATTGTTCACAACAAAGGCGTTCCACTCAACATTCACTACTGCTGGCATTGACCTAATGTTGTACTGTTATAGTTTTACTCCATTCCTAAATCTGTACTATAAATGGAGTTGCTGTTTTATTAGTCCGTTGTTTATTCTTTCTTTAGACTTTAAACTGATATGCATAGTTTTTGTTACAGCTTGTACTGTAGCCTTTTTTCTTATTCTTATTCCTTTAAATTTAAATAGGATATTTACAATACCTTTTTTTGGCAATTTGTTTTTTTGTATTTGAGCATCTTTGTTTATACTTTGCTGCAGGTACAACTTATTAGGTTTATGTGCAACTATCAAGGGCGCATTCTCAGAGCTGTTAGACAATTCATCAATCAACAATGCTATCATGGAAAACATAAGATCAATGGAAATTCGGCATCTAACCAAACTTATCGATCTTGTCATTGTTCCATTCATCAAGCATTGCCCTCATAATCTATGGGTAGAATGGATGTTGAAGCTCTTACTACCCTTATTTGACTACTGTGGAGACGTGCTTTACTACTCATGGTTCAGTCTTCTACATAATGGTCAGGCTAATGTTCCACTTTTCTTTGGTTATATTTGTGGATCAGAAGAAACTGTAAGCAAAATGGAAAATTACCTACTTCTTGACCTGACTCGTAAAGTATCCAAGTTGCTTGGGGCCTTAGCTTCGCAAGAACTGAATCAAGGTGTTTACCGTGCGGGTCTTGTCCTTGACATGAATAGTGCTTCTCACGATTTCAAGTGCACACCCTCTACCTCTTTAGTTGGGTATGCAAAAAGAGTAAACTGTTTTTATTTCCTTGGTGGCATTACATTATGTTTTTGTGTCATCATTTGTAAATGTGGCTCTAAGAGAGCATATGCCCTTTATTTGCAGATATATTTTACTCAATGATTGCTTTACAAGGTTAAGCATGAATCTCTTTGGATGTTGGGTGGATGGTGAAGCAGCAATAGATTCCATTCCCTTTTGTCATTCTTTGGTTCAAGTCGCGGTTGCTACAAACAATGAAAAGCTCAAGCGATTTATTAAAGATGATATGCTTCCTGCTATAATCCGACGCCTATATGATGATCTTCCATGTGCAGTTCAAAAGACCATCAGAAAGTTATCTCCCTTGATGAACTCAATCAATTGCAGGAAAGCCACCAAGGATCTCTTGGTTCTATGTCAGGAGATCTATAAAGTTTACATACGATGTCAGGTAGTTTTTCATGGCTTTGTTCTCATCCCCTTCTTATTTGTCGATTATTTGTATGCACACAATGTCATTTGCTTATCAAGTCACGCAGAGAACTGATGATTTACTATTGGAGTCCACAACTGACATGATGTAGTCCCCAAACTAGCCTGAGCTAGTCAATGAGTAGTCAATTAGTCACCTAGCTGCACAACTAGATGCTCTTGTTGAGACCATAGTGCACCAGTCATGCTGCTAGGCCAACTTAGCAACTAGCTGCATGAACAGGGAACGGTTAAGCTTTGGGACCATACATGCTTTCCTGCTTTGCCTTTCCCTGTTCTAGGCACGGTCAGCATAGAACAGGGAACGGTCAAGCAGGCAAGCATCAAGACCGTGAGGCAGCTGAACCTGGTGGCACTTGGCACTGGTTCACTGGTCTTCAACTCTTCATCCTCTGCGCTGGAAGCTATATTCTGGTTCCCTCCTAATGCACTGCAGAGATTCTTCATGTGGCAGAAGGCGGATAAAAAGAGAAGCTCCAAGAGAGAGCTTTCCATCTTCCTCTCTCTTCTGATAGTTAGATATTCTTTATTTCTTTCCTTTTTCCTGATCTTGTCCTTCTTTCTATTTCTGCTATTCTGTTTTGCTCAAGATCCACAGCAGCAGCAGTAAGTAGTTGTATCGGTAAAAGCTACCAATATTAATAGACTAGTTGATGACTAGTCTACTACTGGTTGGCAAGTTGGTAGCATGGCAGCTTGACTTTATGACTTAACAACCATTTCGGGATGTCGTCTTACCTGATTGTAATGTCATATGTTATATCAGCTAGTTGGATTAAATTAGTTTGTTATAGGTTAGGTACATATAAGGCATGCCACATATTCCCCCCACATTGAGCAAAGAATAAACCAAGACTGGTTGCTAATCGGAGAAGTGGGGAATGCTACACCTGAGAGTAATAATATAGTAAAATGTAAACTCTGTATTTTTAGTTCCATATAAAGTGGAAAATGGTTAGATTGTGCTAGCTATACTGATCAGGATTTAACATTGTAGGACAGTAGATTCTATGAACAGTCCAGGATCCTGTAAAGGGGTGTGTAGTTGCTCAATTTATATATATCGCATTAACTCTTTACTCTTATATTTTGAAACATTGATGTACATAACTTCATATCTTTGTGTATATCCATTAGAATTTGGAAGGTGAAGACCAGGATACTGATAACATAGCATACTGGTTTGATGATTGGTTAACAAAGCAGAAGAAAGAACTTTGTGTAAAGGCATCCTATGCTATTCCTGATGAATTTCCAGCTACGCTGTGGAATTGGGAGGTTCATTTCTTGTTAACTTTGTCTTAAATATAATTTTTGAAACATTGCGTAGCCTAGTTTTTGTGCTTATTTTTTCTTTTAAAATGGTTTTTTAATGCTCTAACCAGTTTGAAGAAGAATTTCAAAGGTATCTTCCTACATATCTTGATGTGCTGCATGAAGTTGATACAATGGATTGTCAAGAGGTAATTGTTTTGTTTGAACTGGAGTACCTGCACCATAATGTTCATTTCTCAGTTAAATTCATTTCCCAATAGAAATAGCTAACAAAATTGTATAGTTGATCTTACACTTGGGAGTAGCAGTAACTATTTTAAGTTGAGGAAAAAAGAACAGGTGTAGTACAACTTCCAGCTTTAAAGCTTATTTATTCTCACCAAATTACTTGATCTAAAACTAGTTGAAGTAACTAGTTTCTTGGTGGTAGTCGATCTTGCACTTGGGTGGTAGCAGTGACTAGTTGAAGGTTGCAGAAATATGTAATTTGGAAAAAAAAAAGAGAATAGATCGAGTGTGGCTTCCACCTTTCAAACTCATTGGTTCTTGCAAAATTTTCTGACTATTTCGTGTGTCCACAATGATATACTACTACAAGTTATCTTGTTTTTTCATTATATAGTGCTTTGCTCTATATGAGCTTGCAGAACTTGACATAACCATGTCAACTTCTGTCATAATCTCATTTTTCTAAAGTAGTATTTACTAGTAGAATAGCTTATGTGGTTTTTTAATCAGATTATTTATGCATATCTCATATTACCCTTCAAAAAGAGTCAAGGGTGAGGATAGGTTTTCTTTTTTCTACACCCACCCCCCACTTCAGATCTTCTGTGCCTGCAAATATGTAGGCATGCATGTGTTATTTGTAAGATTTTTACAGAAAAATATTGAACAAATCCACTATATGCCATTGACAAGGCTAATATTTTACAATATACAATCAACAATGAATGATTCTATTATATACCATTGTACAAGCCATTTTCTTCCTTATTGTATACCATCACCATTATTACTCCGTCCATTAGACACGGTAAAAGACTGATTTGCTCCTAGGTTTGGGAATTTTCAAAAGCTGAGAGTTTATGTAAAACAGCTTTGCAGCAAGCAATTTGCTTATGCTTAGTAACACTCAGATGACTTTCAGAAAGGGATTTCGAAATGTTGGACCATATGCAATGTAAAGATATGTGGTAAATGCCTTGGTGATTTCCTTATGAAGAGAGCAGTTTGTCTAATAATCTTTTCATTTGCAGTGTTGTTGTTTGGATAGCGCCAAGATTTTTGAGAATCTGAGCCTGGAATTTCGATCCAGGCATGGTGTTAGGAGCCATACAGATCATGTTGTTTGGATGATATCAAATTTGTTACAAGTATACAATACTCGGCATAACTTCACACATACATTTGTGTGCATGTATCTTGCCTAACATTAATTAATCTTTTTACATTCTAAAGCGGAAGATGCCTGGAGCATATTCAGAGCAACGTGCTGATCGAATTTCCAAATGGACTTGTGAACTTATTAAATCGAAGCCTTACATCAAGGTGCTTTTCTTGCTTACTATTTTTTTTTTGAGTTAAAGTATCATAATATACCTGGATGTTTCAATACTGTATGTGTACTTGAATTCTTTGCAGCTCTCTAATGGTTGGAACAATGCTATGAATCGATTGAAGGAAAACTTTGTGATAAATGTAGATACTAAACCGGATGCAATAGATGCAGTTAATGTGCGTATTATCCTTAATTCAATGTTGTTGCTAAAAGTATTATTTGGAAATTATTCTGACAATTGTTGCTCTGTTAGATCTTCTACAATTCAATATTGCTTCTTTGGGAACCTCAGTTTCATCCTTTAATCAGGGAGGTGAGCTGCCCTTACACCCTCCAAAAGTCCCTCTCTGTTTCTTACTGTGCATCTTGTATAATATTTATAATATACAGGGTCAAATGGATGTTCTTGTAGAGATAGCTCATCAGTTAGCTTTTGCAGAAGAGAGAAAAAACTACGAGGTTTTTTATTTCTCCTCCATATCCATTTTCCTTGTTTTTTTTTTTTTGACCTTGTCCCTTTTCCTTGTTGGACTATTCAATGTTAATCAACGTTTTTTCAGCCATTGGAACCAGATTCATTAGATTTCTTGGACCATTTGCAACCTTATGCAAAATTATACATCTATAGAAAGAAGACAGAATCTGGGGTATGTTCTCATTAGTTTGTACATTTACATGTGCTTTTGATTTCCAGTCTGTTTGTAACAACATTTGTGCTGTCTTAAATTAAACTATACAATGTGCTTCTCTTTGCCATTGTTGTGTTGTTATTCTTCTATTGTGGTTCTTGTTGTGACTGTAGATCACTAGATCCGTGTTTACTCTTAGTGCCTTTTACACTGCAGTTTGCAAAAGATCGCTTTAGCAAGTACCTTGCGCTATCTCTCTACAAACTCTACATTGTTAATATAGGCTCATTACAATCTAAGGATCCACTTCTTATGTGTTTCAAAAATTTTCCACATTGAGTTTCCAAACTTGAAAGCTAACTATATTGAATAATACTATACCACTCTTGGAGAACTGTTGCTAGTTGTGGGCTGCTGCTTATATGGTCTTCTATTTAAATAGTTGCCACTTGGGCGCTTAACTTGAATAATAAATACTCTACTTACTTGCATTCAATTTCTACTGAGAGTCAGTTTGCTGCTGCTGTTCAGTGCTGCACAGCATTGTTAATTATGGATAGCATTACAAATTACAGTAAGTGTTTATTGTCATGGCTCTAATCCTGTGTTTGAGAAACAACTACAATGCCCAATGGAGCCTATGTTAAATGTGTAACAATTTACAACTGCACTCATCATAATTGCATAAGTTGTCATTATGTTCTAGTGTAGGAAATTTAAATAACATTCAAAAGGAAATCTTTGAATATCTTATTGTAGTCAATGCAGAATGTGAAACCAAGGTATCAGATGAAGTAGATTTGTGAATCAAATAGTCAAATGTATCATACTCGTTACAACATCAAGAAAGTGCTCATAATGCTATCCAAAATTTTCATTCTCATAACACCTAGAAAGTACTGTGCCAGACAGATGCCTCGCATTCATAACAGTCCTATAAAGTAACTACAGCACTGATTGGAATTCTTTTGAGCCCATGTGTTGCTGCAGGCTTGTTTATGGTCTCAATCTTTTAAGTAGCATTTTCCAATTAATTAGAGTATGTGGTCTAAGAAGGATTTTTTTTTTTTTTGTAATTTTTGGCCCCATAACTTCATTATGGACCACAAAACAGCTCTTCAATAAAATTAGGAGGATTTATTGTGATAAATGATTACATACTGCAAGTACCTACTAATTTCTTTTGCATCTTATCATAATGCCAAGACAACACAAATGCTATGGATAGTAAAATTCAATGTTAGTGGAATATATCACATAGCATAAGATTTGTGATTAATGAGGGCATTTATGTTTGTGTCAAATTAGAAGCAGCAAAATGTCCAAAGGAATTAAAATGTGAGTTGTTTTGGCTGAAGAAAACGGTAGTATTTACTACTTGCGGAGCATATTATATACATGACTTATGAATTTATATTAAAGACCCACCATCTGGCAAAGCACCACATCTGATGTGGTCATCAACTAACCCAAGAGACTTGTGAATTTATATTGGAGACCCACCACCTGACAAAAGCACCAAGTCTGATGTGGTTCAACTAACTCAAGAAATTTACAGGGCTGAAAGTCTATTTTCTTGGGGCAAGGCTATTTGATGATGAGCTAAGCTGGTTGGCCGGCTTCTCCTCAGTTGCCAATTTGCCATCACAAAGTTACCTATATGATGTCACTGTCCATGACCAGAGGTTGCAGAATAGATGCTAGTAGTACAAAGATGTGTACTGATAGAGAAGGGTCTGTAGATTTGTTTCTTAGGTCAAACTTTTGGGTTTATATTTTGTTAAATCAAATGGTTCTGAAAGGTGTAGAGATGTAGCAATGAGCCATAAATTATGGAAGGCAACTATACAAAGGGCCTGTTTAGTTCCCCAAAAACTTTTCCCAAAAACATCATATCGAATCTTTAGACACAAATATGGAGCATTAAATATAGATAAAAAGAAAAACTAATTGCACAGTTTGCATGTAAATCGCGAGACGAATCTTTTGAGCCTAATTAGGCCAGGATTAGCCATAAGTGCTACAATAACCCACATGTGCTAATGACGGATTAATTAGGCTCAAAAGATTCGTCTTGCGGTTTCCTGGTGAGTTATGAAATTAGTTTTTTCATTCGTGTCCGAAAACCCCTTCCGACATCCGGTCAAATGTCCGATGTGACACCCAAAAATTTTCATTTCACCAACTAAACAGGCCCAAACAGAACGGAGAAAACTACACAACCAGCTATACAATACAGCAAACAGGATCAACTTCCAGGATTGATATGTTGCTTTCGCCTTTGTTAAAACTTGGCATACTTCCATAATACAGTTGAGCATTTTGTCAGCAGGTGCGCTCTTGGCATTTTATCTTGAAGAGTTATAAAAAGATTTCTTGTGACAGGTCGAAACAGAAGCAAGCACAGAAGTGTATTCTTAACTGTTTCTTTTTCATCACTATATATATGTTGATTTTATCTCTGTTTTACTAGATAATCTAAATCAAGACTGCTGTTTGCCTTTGTGAGTTTAAAGTATTAATGTGCAGTGATTTTACAGTATTTTACAGCAATAGAACAAGTCCAGTTGCATAAAGAATTTGACAGATACTTGGCTTCAGGCGTTTTGGATGGTGATATTTGTAAATTTAGTTCTTTCCAGGTACCTACATTGTTGTGATACTTCAATGGTACCATCATACATAGCAAAGCTAATATGTCATATTTGGGTGGTGGAGGGGGATGATTTTATTTTATGTATTCCATTAGGCTATGCTAAATTATAACTACAGTGAAAGGAAATGCATGTTAGTGTTTCTCTTGGTAACCTACTAAATAACCTCAGACTTGCTTCCTGTCAACTGGGTAGAACTAAACCACGTGCTAGCAAATCTAGCTCTTCAATTCACCACTCCTTCCTTGATTGCTTTCAAGGTCTTATGTCCCCTAAGCTCCTTTACCATGTGATTACTCATCCCTTGTGGTTCTGTTCTTTGGAATCATGTGGGTCCATTTGTTGCAGAACATAACATTTTAGTGGTTTGTCTCCAAATTAGCATCTAAATATGCTATCCAAATCAATTCGATGTAGTTACTTGTTTAGTGTTTTGTCGCTCGCTGCAGGATGACTTTATTGAGGAATTCGCTGATAAACACATTGCGAAAAGTCAATTTGTGCAGTTGGACAGAAAACTCATTACATTGTCTTTGGAGGTACAACAACCCTTTTTGCACAATTACTTGGTTGCTTTGGTTACATTTTATCCTTAAAAGTTTATCTTGCTTATAGCAACGAGCTCAGATTCTGGAGAAGCAACGCCAAATAAACACTTATGCTGAATGCTTGAGAAATATCCTGACAGATCTGAAGGTATGCTATTTTGGTGTCTTTGTTTCATGCAATCTTCCTGAAAATTAGTCCAAGTTAGTCCAGTGCATTGTAACAAGAAATTCCAACTTGCAATAAAAGATGAGCATGTAGCTCAATGATAATGCACCCAGTAGAGGTGCTAATCTTGCCAACATGACCACAGGTAATCGACTGTACGAGTAAAATCTCTAATGGTACATGAAAGATGACATGTTAGAACCATATTGGTGATTTGTGGACAATTGAAGTGATGACATTCTGATAGTTTTTCTGCATTCTCACTATTTATTTATTTATTTTGGAAGAAGTCCATTTGAGTCTCCCCTATTATTTCCTGAGCATTGTTTTCAACTGTCAATTATTATAACGGGCACTTCAACCGCACTCAAATATGTAAACCAATCGTTCTTCGCCATTTGGTTGATCTAGCTTTGCTAATTTTGCCACCTGATGGACGTATTTGAAGGTCAAGGGGTGCTAAAACACTGAGTGCTTTACTGTATGAGGTTGAAGTAGATTTTGCAGTAACTGGGAGTGGGGTTTAATGGATTGTTTATCTTCATTTTATGTCATAAACTATCCTTGATAGGACTGATTCCATCATTTACTTTGAATAAACATAAAATGGTGAACATCAAGGGTTAAAACCATTTTAGGGAGTGTTTGAGAGGAAGGGAAATGAGAAGATTAAGATACCCAAAATAAGTAAGCCATTAGCACATGATTAATTGAGTCTTAATTATTTTAAACTTGAAAAATGGATTAATATGTTTTTTAAAGCAACTTTTCGATAGATTTTTTTTTGCAAGAAACACAGTTTAACGGTTTGGAAAGCGTGCGCGTGGGAAAACAAGGGACTATTCCTCTCTATCCAGTCGTAACGAACGCAAGTCTGGTCTTTGTATATGTTCATTTTTGTTGGTTGTTTTGTGCATTGGAACGCTAATGTTGTGGACTTGGATCCATGACGAAATAAGCGAGGGGGAAACTGAATATGCTCATGTTATTTTGTTGGGCTGTTTTCTTTTTATTTGAATTTATAAAACGAATCCCAGCTGAAAGATGGTCTTCAAAGTTTGATGAGTGAGCTAGAAGTGGAAGGTTTCTTCGACGTGAATAACAATTGCACAGATTGGGTATGCCACTCACCGAATTTAGATGCCTTCTATTTTGCTAAATATTTCAATTGAAGTCATGTTCCTATTTTTTGTAGGAGAAAGGGTGCTTCTTACGACTTATTGACAATTTTGAAGATTTAGTTTTCAGAGGACATTGCTTTCCTAGATACCTTGTCATTCAAGGAATTATGGTAACTCATTCATTGGTGCTGTTTTCTTGTCTATTCAAATAGTGAGTGAAGCTCAACATAACTTATGAATAATGCAAGGATTATTGGGAAATGTCACAACGGAGCGACAGTACCTGGGAAGATTCTTTTGAACAGGTAACTTCAGTTCTCCTGAAAACTAGCCTTTATTAACTTCATTCATAGAATGCTCCTTCCGTGAAAACATACTAATAGTTGGTAATTTGGCAGGTTGTTGAAGTATTATGCGATAATTGGAGACAAGATCTTACACAGGTATGTAATAATCTCCCTTCTTCTGTATTTAGCACAATATTTGATCATTTTTTCTTGTTATTCGTGTAGATTTGGATGGAAACAAGATACTATGAAGGCTTATATTATGATGTACTTAGGAAACCTTTAAAAAAGGTTGGTGTCTTTATCGCGCTGACATGCACTACCCTGGAAAATTCAATTTCTTCCTGTTGCCTAGTTATTATCTGTAATATGGCTGCAGTGCTACTTTGCTGTTAAATCACTATTTCTTCCTGTTTGACTTTTTGAGGAACTACTTCTATTATTGTTTTGGAGGATAAATTTACTAGGTCACGTACGCATCTTATATTCTATATAGGTCTGGCACTGTTTTTCCAGTTTCTAAAACCTCTTTGCCTGTCACCTAACATGATTTATTAAAGATTAAACGCTACTAGTTTGGTAATGTACATGTTATCCAGCTAGATATGCATCTAAATGGATTGTGGAGTGTGTTACATATTTTTACCTTTTGAAAATTACAATGCAACAATATCTTTAGTTTTATCCGAAACCATGTTTGGAAATTTGTTTTGAGGGAAAGTCTGATTTGAAAGTCGTGCTAGTTGTCATATGATCTGACAATTGGCGTTTGAGTCTGATTGCAACAATTTATTCGAAATGTTCTTTGTAGGCATTTGATCTGGTAAAATTTTGGAATGATTTGGGCTATTGATCTGTGATATCATTGTCGTACTCCTGATTTGTACGTTTCTCATGGTTTCTGTTGCTTATATTTTTCATTGTCGTACTGATTTTGACGTTTGTCATGGTTTCTGTTGCTTATATTTTTCCTGCCTTTTTATGGCAAGTTCTGGATTAAAATAGTTTTTTCTTTTCCTTTTAAACAGATCTTCATGCGGAAGATTGAAGCTTCAGAACTGTAGCTACAGCTTATATGATAAGTACGACATATGCATGCCAGCTAGCATTTCTAGCAGTAAGGGCCGCCACTGTGCTAAACCTGAAACTGAGTTGTTTTCCTTATTCTGGATGTAACCCCATTATAATATAATCCTTGGTCCTTGGATTTATAGTCTCGATCATATTTCAGTTGTCAGATATATGTTGCCTCGTTCTAAACTTCAACATGATTCAGATTATTCCACGGTTTTCGTTAGCACATTTTTCAAACTATTGTGAAAGCTTTTTACATAGAAGTTGCTATAAAAAAACAAATAAATTTATTCTTTTCAGTTTTTAATAAATAAAATTTAATTAATCATGTGCTAATGATTTGACTAGTTTTGCATGCGTATTTAATCTTTCTTCATGTTGGATGTTCGAACGGGACCATAGGCCTTCCCATTCTGTTAGCAAAACAAGGAAGGGTCTGTTTAGTTTCTAGCAAAATTTTTCGTCCTATCACATTAAATGCTCGGACACATGCATGGTTTATTAAATATAAATGAAAAAAATAACTAATTACACAGATTGCGTGTAAATTATGAGACGAATTTTTTAAGCCTAATTGCTCTATGATTTGACAATGTGGTGCTACAGTAGATAGTTGATAATGACGGATTAATTAGGCTTAATAAATTTATCTCGCAGTTTACAGGTAGAATCTGTAATTTGTTTTGTTATTAGTATACATTTAATACTTCACCATAACCGAAGCCACCATAACATGAATCTGTAATCCGTATATCTGATGTGATAAGCTAAAACTTTTCATCGCTGGATCTAAACATAGCCGAAGCCACCATAACATGAAACAGTCTGTATTGGCTGCTGGTGGGCTAGAATCCAATACAAATTCACACCCAACCCACCTCATCACGAAGCAACTAACCGAATCAACCCACCCCATTTCCCTGGGGAATTTAACTATTTGCCACTTTTAGGTTTGGCACTTATTCAAATACCCCTTTTAGGCTTGCGCTTAATAATTTGTCACTAGAGAGAGATGATTTCTTAACTATTTGCCACTTTTGTCCATGTGGAGTGCCATCGTGGCGTGCCCGCGTGCAAAAGCAACATGGATCCCACCCGTCAGCCCCTCCCCTCTCCTCCCTCTCCAGCCACTACACCCCGCTCCCCTCCCGGCCAGTGTTCATCAGCAGAGCGGGTGGAGATCGATTGCGTTCGTTTTATGGTTGTTTTGATGAGTTTTGTTTCTAGGTTGATAGCGTCAACCGCGATGGCGTGCTGCTGGAAATGGTGCAGCTGCTCACCGATCTCGACCTCGTCATCTCCAAGTCGTACATCTCCGATGGCGGCTGGCTCATGGACGGCAACAACCCTTCCATTGGATCGTTGATGTCGTGGGAATTTATTATTAAAAAGGGATTAAATTGTGGTGTGTTTGTGCAATGCAGTGTACCATGGAAGGAGCTCCTCTAACTTAAAGTTAGAGGAGCCTCCTCCGTGTACCATGTGATGAACCAGATGGGACGGAAGCTAACGGACCCGTCGCTGCCGGAGTTCATCCAGCGGGCGGTCGTCCCATGCCAGCGCCCCGGCGGCAACGGGCCGTCGCCCAGGTTCACGACGTTGGGGAGGGAGAAGGAGAGGGGAGGGGCTGGCAGGTGGGGTTCACGTTGCTTTCCACGCGGACACGCCACGTGGGCAAAAGTGGTAAATAGTCAAGAAATCATCTCTCTCCAGTGGCAAATTATTAAGCGCGAACCTAAGAGAGGTATTTGGATAATTGTCAAATCTAAAAGTGGCAAATAGTTAAATTCTCCCATTTTCGCGGCACATTTAACTATTTCCCACTTTTAAGATGTGCCAATTAAGAATTTGCCATTTGTTGTCTATAATATGTGAGTTCAGTGGCAAATCCTTCTGAAGCCCTCGTAAGAGTGGTAAATAATTAATTATTCCCATTTCTCCTCTTCTTAGATCCGATCCAAACCAAACCAAACCACCTTTAATGTCAGTCCAAATCGTTCCACTGAAATGGGTTCAGTCCATTCTGCCAAAATTGATGGTGCCCATGGATCGACTGCTGCCTTGTCGCTCAGAAGAACACCGCCTTGCAGCGGCGCTGACCTTCACGCCATCGTCTACCTCTAACACCCACACCCTGCACCCTTCTGCCCCTGCTGTTGTGCCTCCACCGCCGAGCAACCGTGCTGCCCTTGTCCATTCCAAGGCTCCCAACCCACACTCTCTTCCATCCAAACCGCATCGGTTTGCTGTGGGACTTGGTGGAGAAATGCTCTTTACTCCTAGTTTAGAACCCAACCGGAACTACGAATCCGGTACCAAAGATCGCTATTTTTAGTCTCGGTTCAAATAACCGGAACCAAAGATCGATCTTTAGTCCTGGTTGGTAAACCAACCGGGACTAAAAGAGGGGGAATCTTTAGTCCCGCCCCCTCTTTAGTCCCGGGTAGCGGCAGTCCCTCGAGGTCCTTTTTTTTCATTGTTGATTTGCTAATGGCTAGAGTTTATCCCTATATTTTCTCCCAAATTGGGGGATGCACATCCCCAAATCAACATCCTAAATATTAAGTTACTTATACACACAGATCAAATATATCACAAATCCTACACACAGATCAAATACATCACAAATCTTAAAAAACTACACACAAATTAAATACATCACAGATTATACAAGATTATACATCTCAGATCCATGCGATGCAATGAATCACAAAATCTAAAAAAATATACATCCAGTGAAACACAAATTATATAAAAAAAAGCAAACGAGCCGGCTGCCGCCCGCTGCCGGCCTGCCCGCCGCCCGCCTGCCTACGCGCGGCTACGCCGCCCGCCACCCTGTGTGCGGCCGCGCTGCCGCCACCCGCCGCCGGCCGGCTGATGGAAGAGGGAGTAGAGGGGAGGAGGAGGAAGGGCCGGCTGATGGGAGGGAGAAGAGAAAGGGGATTGGATCTGAGAAGAGGAAGAGAGGGGATGATCCAATCTTATCTAAATATCTATCTGGGACTTAACCGATTAGATGTGGGAGAGAAATATTTAGTCCCGGTTGGTAATACCAACCGGGAGTAAAGATCAACCGGGACTAAAGTGGTAATATTTAATCCTGGTTGGTAGTATCAATCGGGATTAAAGATCCTTGGCTCCCTGACATACATCTGACAGGGGATGAACCAGGACTAAAATTCATCTTTAGTCCCGGATGGTGTTACCAACCGGAACTAAAGATCAATTTTTTTTTAACTGGGACTAAAAATCGTTTTTAGTGCCGGTTTTTAATGGAACCGGGACTATTGTGGAATTTGGTCGACCGACCAAAGATGGTTTCTCCACCAGTGGGAGTCTCTACTAGTTAAAAAAATCTCTAGTGGTGGTGGTGAGTCCTCCCCAATCGAACGGCTGAGATGTTTCCTAGGATCCTCCCACTAAATCAACGCTCCAGACGTCATCAATCCGCCACGCTCTCGCATCGCACTCCAACCACCCGTCCGCATCCATCGCCTCACGCCTTGCGCCATCCTCCCCCTTGCTCGCGCATGCTCGCCGCCTTGCCCTCGCCGTCCTCGGTCGCGCCAGCGTCGCCGCCGCCATCGATCCTTCCCGACGCCCTCTCCGTCCTCCTCATTGCCGCCATCGCCGTCCTTCCCCACATGTCCTTCACTGAGTTACTGATTTTGGTTAATAGGAGGCTTTTGTGCTCCCCGAACATTTTTGTTTGGCTAAGTCAAGTATTGGTATTAGCATTAGAAGGAATTATTTTATTTATTACTGTGAGGTTTTATTCAACAATTTTTGTTGTTTTTGTAAAAAAAAAGAAGATATGATATAACAATTGTGTGCTATATTAAGGTCTTCGTTACAACAAACGTACACTCTGATTATTTGACATAATTTTACTTCGTGTTATTTAAAGTTGATGCATATATCTTTTTTGTCCCGTTGTAACGCACGGGCACCCTACTAGTTTAGTATGATAACAATAAGTAAAAATAATATGTAAGATAGCTAACATAAATTGTTGTGGTTTACAATAATTTAAATAGTATATAGAATAATGATTTAAATATAAAAGTAAGTGACGTGGCTTTAGAAGAAAAGAAAAGGAGGGAGATAGTTTGGACAATAGATTAATCATCTAAGAGCTAAAAATAATTTAGGTGATATAGCTTAATGAGAGAAAAAAAGAAGAGAGATAATTTAGACCATAGATTAATCATCTTTAGACCAAAAATAATTGATGTGATATATCTTAATGAGAAAAAAATAAATACCATTAACTAAGTGAGGATGAAGAGATATTATAAAAAAATAATGGAGAAATATATTGAAATATTATGTGAATTATGTGGATGATGATGATTTAACATGCTTGCATTATAAAGTTCTAAAATTTAATAAATTATAGAATTTTTGATATTTTAGCATGTTTGCATGATGTTTAAGATGTAATAATTATCAGTGGATGATGATGTGACATTTTTGTATGTTGAGCTTTAGGATTTAGTGGGTTGTAACTTTATAGTAAGATACGATAGAAAAACTGGTAATTTGCTGAAGAGGACACTTTCGATTCAATTAGAGAGATAAATTATTAAGAAAGATGAGAATACCCCTAGAACCATATGCTCCAACATGGCGTTAGAGTAAAAATTTAGAATTTATGCAACTCTAAATTTGCCGTCACCCTTAATACATCACTAGCATATATGCTACACCCCAGTTTTGGAAGGCTATGTTGGTGTTCATTCTGACCAGAATCAAAGTGGAGATTCGGAGTCCGAGTATGATCCTTTAAAGGATGATACTGGTGAAGGAGATTTGATTGATGATGAGAATGCAAAGGTTGTAATTCCTTTATGTTGACAAGTCTTAACTTGTTATTTTTCTTCCTAATTCAATGTAATACTATGTTGACCAATCCATGCTTTTCTTTCCAGCAGTGCTCTAAGGAGAAGACTCGCAAGAACTGTAACAACAAAACTTCAAGCATCCAGACTGGTGGAGTCAAGTTTCGGTCTCGCAAGAGAGTTTATGCAGAGCAAATGACTCCTAAAGTTACAAGGTCAAAGAAAAGCATTGCCCAACAAGATGCAAGTCTCACACCAAGTGATATTTGTATGCCAGCTACATCACAAGCTAACGCTGGAGATCTCGATGGCAACTTAGATGACCACACACAGGCTGCTGTTGAAGGCCAGTTCTACTGCCACATTTCTTGGTTACATTCCATTAACATGAGTCAGCTATAAAAATGTTTAACTTGCTGATCTAAGTTTATTGCTTGTTTACCTTTTGAAAATATTAACTTGAGTTTTAAGAATAAAAAAAATTAATGAAACCAATTTTCACATTTTTACTTGACAACACTCACATGACCACCGGGTCTGATGCTATCGACCAACATAATCAGCACAACCATATGGACAATGGAGGTGATGAATTCTTACTGTCGTTATGTAAGTTTTGTTTGTATGATGAATGCTTTTCTTACTTGCTGCCCTTTTTTAGATGGCTTCACCCAGCATGATGACAACACCCTTGTGGCTGATGTAGTTGATGGCATTACTCAACACGGTGACCACAACCAGATTACCAACGAAGGTGAGTTTGTTCATCTATTTTCCATATTTCATATTGTCTCAGTTGATCAATATTTGTATGCAAAGCTTTCAATTCATGATCATCTTGGATCAATGTTTGCTTCACCTCAATAATTTTAGTTTTAATTTCAACTGCAATGTACATTTACAACTAGGGGGAGTGGAGAGAAGGGACCGGGGAAATAATATGGGACGTGGTCTCCAAAGGTTAAACCGAGCGTGCCGTGGCAAGCTACAAGTTGTCATAACTGAAGGGAATATAAGGCCAGTGGTTCCTCTTGTTGCTGCAAAGTTTGCAACTGAATGCAACATCATAGTTAGGAACCATGTGCCTATACTCCCGCATTGGAAGCTATACAAGGAAAAACCTGCATCTGCGTACGTTAATCTGTTCTTAGGAAAACTAAAGGTACATGCATTCTCTGGTCCTTTCCACATTTAGTCTCAATAGAAGATCCATTGTTTGTTATTTTAAGCCATAAATTACTGAATTGATATTCTTTTCTATAAATGTTCTTCCATTCGATTAGGCCAAGTTTGACATAAACATAGAGGATGATACAGTTAAAATGGCTTGTACTGAGATGATGAAGTCCGCAGTTCGCCAACAAAGATACAGGCTGAAGCAAAAATATTTTGATCCTTTTCCACTACATTTGGTTACAAAAACTTCTCCTGTCAAATTCATGAGTAATGAACAGTGGACTCAACTCCTAGAATCATGGAAGAGTCCCCAAAAGATGGTATGTTCTCTCTGCAAAACCAGATTGATGCCTTGTGCATGCTAATCTATCACCAACCTTACATGTATTGTTGTCTTTAATGTAGGAGATGTGTCAAAAGAACAAAGAAAACCGAGGGAATGTTAAGTACCATCACACAACCGGATCTCGTGCCTACATGGTTCATGTTGAAAATTTGGTAAGTGGGCCATTTTAAGCACCATATAATTTTTTGTATGAACAAGCTACTGCTTAAATACGTCTGCCTCAGCCTAAACAAGATGATGTCCATGCTCATGTTGTTATGTTCATGAGAGTCCATTAGTTTGTGGAATGTTCAAGGACACTATATCTGATCCGATGCCAATACATTGTGTGAAAGGTGACGAGTTAGGTTTCCATCTATGTCTAAGTTGAGTGTGTTAATAGATTAAAAGTTATTGTTTTTATGTCTGTGTATGCAGTGAAAGACCTCTGTTGCAGTTGTTTGTCTAAGTGGAAAACATAGTGTGACTGTGTGCAACAAATGAGGCTAGAAATTAGTTGAACATGTTCTTTTAGATTCTCAATTGAACAGTAGCTGCCCAGATTTTCGTAACATCTTAATTCATGCTGGACCTAATGCATATATGTTGTTCTCAGGATGACAAATACAATGATGAAGAACCTAATGCATTTGATTTGTTCAAGGAGTTCCACTACAGCAAGAAAAAAAAATGCTACACCCCTGTTGTACAGGAGGCTATTGTAAGATAATTTTCAGACTTTGATCTTTGTAGTGCTTATTTTTAATTCTCTCAACATCAACCATGTTTGCTACTTTCTTGCTAGACTCGGATGGAAAACAAGCTATCTACAACAACAGAAGGTGAAGAACTTAAGTCAGTGGCTCAAGTTGTTGCTGATGTGCTTGCTGAGAACACCAAGAAGAATCGGTTCTTAAAGAATGTGGGGTTCCATAATGCCCAGCCTAGATTCAGTGAGCAGAGCACTGAGACAGAACTAGAAGCGGAGAAAAGGACCAATGCTGAGCTTCGTGCACAGGTGGCTGATTTGTCAAACAAAGTGCAAGAATCTGAGCAGGCAAGGATTAAAGACCGAGAGGAGATGAAGAGGAGTCAATCTGAGATGGAAGCAAAACTTAATCTTTTGCTCAGTCAAATTCGACCAAGTTAAGACATGCATGGTGCATATCTTTTGCCTCTAACTACATGCATTTTGCTGCTGCTAACTTGTGTCAAGTCAATTTCGACCAAGTTAAGTCATACATGGTGGTATATATTTTGTTGCTGCTACTTGCATTTTGCTGCTACTGCATGCTGCATGAATCAAGCTGCTGGACTTGTATGCATTTCCTGAGTCTGTGTTATTGGCTGTGTGCACTTTTGTATGGTAACTGTTGTTGGATGAAGACTTGTGTAATGTGATGCTGGATGAAAATTCATGTGATATGTTGTTGGATGGAAACATAAGATTTTTTTTTATTTAATGTGCTGCTACATTAATTCCTTGTGGGCTGTGTATGTGGGCTGAATGTTTGATAATGGGCTGTGTATATGGGCTATATGTGCTGCAGTAGTGGGCTGAAGAGTGGGCTAAAAATTAGTGACGAATTTGGGCTGCAGTATGCTGAAATGGGCTTGCAAAAAAGGCTGAAAAATTGCTGCGAAAATGGCTGAAATTGGGCCAAAATTGGCCCATCTTTGATTCTGGCCTGTTAACAAATGGGCTGAGGTAGTGTCCATGTCATCATCCATGTAAGCAACCATGCAAGCATCTATGATGATGTGGCAATTCATCCGTGACGGTTATTTTTCGTCACAGGAAATGGGCTTGGGCTGGACTAACTAGGCCTTGGGCAATATCGTGACGATTTAAAACCGTCACCGATTCTGGTACTCTGTGATGGTTTTCGACAAACCGTCACGCATGTCAATCCATGACGCTCAATCAGTGATGATTTCTTAAACCATCACAGATGCTGTGTGGTGATGGTTTTCTAGTGATCCGTGACAGATATTTTTCATCACGGATTAACGGGATTCTTGTAGTGATACATCATTTTCCATCTTCATTCTAGCCTTACCTCAAAAGCTTTTGACTCTAGGGACATTCTCATCTTTTTAAGAATTTCTCTCTCCAATTGAGTCGAAAGTGTTCTCGAACAAATTACCAGTTTTTTAAAAGTATCTTTTGGTCATGACACATTTTTACGATGTCTACCAGTAAATTACACAAAATTTGAGTGTCTTGTAGCAAATTTTGCGTTATATAAACCCATTCCAATCCAATCAAAGCCAAACTCCCAAAAAAAAGTTCTCAAAAACGAACTCATCGAAACCAACCCAAAGGAAAATTCAAACAATAATCCATTTGCATCCCTCTATTGGCGCATCATTGTTCTTGTCGAGTGCCAATGATCTAGCAAGAGCGTCGGAAGCATTAAATCTGACTCCACAAAATGTTGTATTACATGAATTTACCTACTATATTGATTTTGTAGGATATAAGCATGCATCTGTACCAATCACATCAAGCCACCACCCACCAACAGACAATGCAAGTTACATGTAACCTTTTCTAAGGTTTAAGTAATACTTCATCCGTCCCATAAAAAAATAAACCTAAAACAGAATATGACGCATTTCAATACTATAAATATGGACTGTTCAGATTATCTAGATTTATAGTATTAATGTATTGCATATTATTCTAGGTTTATTTTTTATGCAACGAAGGAAATATGATGGGCGGATAGTATTGGATAGTATAGTATGAATCAAAATGTTCTTTCACAAGAAGTCAAAGAGCACAAAAGTTCATCCATTTGCTCAATCGAAGATCTGGCAATCATTAAACCCAATTGAAATATTACTAACATAATCACATCCGGGTGAAGGGTGTCAGTAGTCAAGACTCAAGAAGAGTAATGCTGACCTGATGAACTGCAAAGTAACAATAAACAAGAACCAGTCTGTCGTGCTTCTACATTTATGCAGGAAATAATTGCTTGGAGCTTGCACAGTTCCAAACCACGCAAGTATGGTAACCTTTTTTGGATAATGAGACAAAATATCCCCAGCCTTTTCGTACATAGATGCACAAAGCCATAGTTCACTCATTACGAGTTCTCCAAACCAAGCGGAAGAATCAGGCATGTCCAATATATGCCACCCAATCACTTAATCACTGGGCCAAATTTTTTTATATGTATGTTGACCATTTGTAGGAATAGCTATAATGTTAGTCATTCTGACGGATATAGGTTACAGTCATCGGAAAGAGGGTGAACTACGCTAGCAATCTCATCCTGCTATAGTGCTATGTACTGTTGTACGCCATACTTGCCAGAAAAATTACAAAGAAAAATAATAAAGCCTAGCGAATTGATTTTGGAATTATAGAACTTTGCTGCTGTTGCTGTCCAGCTTCAGAATTAACCATGCATGTTGTTCCTGCTGCTCCTCGAGTACAGGGATCTCCCCAAGTCCTCATCATCACTGCTCTTATTTGATTCATCATCAGAAGAAGATGAGCAGAGCTAGTTAGCATTTAAGGAATCAAGTCATATTTATGGAAGTTGATCCTAAAGCCAGAGATTTGCTAAAAAAACAAGACAGAAGCCATTTTATTTGTTTATTGTAATTTCTACGTCCATGAGAAAGAGGGTATAATCATCATCAGCAGCATATTGCTAGCTGACAATCCTGACATCGGACTACATATAAGATCAGCATTCGCAGCTTCATATAAAACTTGAGAGAACACATCGGCAACCAAGTTAAACAGCAACCTGGAGAGGATCCCTTTATCAAACCCTTACCAGTTACTGTACACATCATTCAATCTAATGCCAGCAGAATAATTATAAATAAGGGCTTTAAACCACTTAATCCAACTCTGTTTTAACCAAACCCCTACTCACCAGTCACCACTGTGATGAACAACATGCTCTAACTAATGAGCACCAACCACTCTCCTAAATGTATCTCCCCTTTACCAAAGCATTCTGGTTAGAAGAAACCAACCTATCCATATTCCATAAACTGAGAAAATGTACCAGTAAAAGCCTTGTAAAGAATCTTAAAGCTACAGTTCAAAGACTAGGAGGACAAAACTCCTTAATTGTGTTACCATCCTGCTCTTTTGGAATTAAAGCAATCATAGGCAAATTTAGTCTAAAAACATCCAACTCCTTTCTTTCCAGATCTTTTAAAAGGGTAGATTGTTCATGAAAACTCAGAAAGAAAAGATTGCTTATGCTCTTCGTAAGCAGAACCATATACCACCACAATGACCAATTGTTTTTTATCGCTGCAGTTTCCTAGGATTAATTTCATGGAGAACTCAAAAAACTGGTAAGAACATTAGCAATAACTCCCGTTAAAATTCCACCTACAGGGAGCATCACCTATCATAGCTACTTTTGCTAACTAGAGACATTTCTACCTGGATTCATCTCTGGTTTTCCATTTCATTCTTTTTCATCTCATAAAACCTTTCCATGTAGTTATTTTGATCTGCATGAAAATTAGAACATAGTAAGACCTCCACCATAAAATGTTTCTGTATATAAATTGCTCTTTTCTTTTTCAGGATAAATAAAACACATCACTGATTTTAGTTTTTGATTTAATGCCACTGACCTCTTAGCACTGGAGATTCAGTTATCCACTCTAAATTCCTAATTTCTTTTCGTAATTTTATCATGTAGTCTCCTTTGACTTTTTGTATGAGTCTCTCACATCTGACCTTGTCAAATTTAAGTTTATCCTGAAAAACAAATAGTACATTTAGAATAAAAGAATGGAACTATAATTTAATATAATCTGCTTGACAGAAATTCACCTGTTCATCCGTGCTGTTATAACTCATATCAGGATGTGCTACAATGTAGGTCCTTAAATGTTCTAAAGAATCTAGCAAGTTATTTTCCTGAAGTTCCTTGCCTGCAAAGTTTTTTAAACTTGCTGCTATTCCAAGTGTACGCTTTATTTTGATCAGTGATTTCCCCTTCTCTGTTTCTATTAGTTTCTTTGTTTTCAACTTGTCTCGTTCTTTATCAATCAGCCAAAAAATTTCTCTAATGAACTGAGTTTTTATATTTGCTTCCCATGCTCCTGGATGCCAGAGTATACCATCATATCTGCATGGAAATAAAAGCATATGATGATGTGAGTGAAATAACACAATTTTACTGATCGAACAACACCACTTTATTTCAGTTCTTTCAGTAGGTAATATAGTTGACTCACGTTACTGGTCCTTCTTCTGGTTTTGATCCTTCCAAATATGCAGCTAAATCTTTCAACTCCTCATTGACATTTCCTTCTGGTCCATACATTTTTTTCAGGCAGAGTCCAACAGCCCTCCAGTTAAACTGTTGGACATCTTCAATTGTTACTTCTGTTTATATTAAAAAAAAGAAAAAGTGACATCAAAATGCTTGACATAATGAAGGGTACTACTATGGCAAAATTATCTGTATGAGGAATTGTAAACGTGTGCTACTCACATTTTTTGGGGGAATACGCACAAGAAATGTGTATCATTGTATTAAGCTTGGTAGGGGGGGTTCTGTATACAACTTCCACATAAAAAAGGAAAGGAAAACATAGAAAAAAAGGGGGCAATTAAGGGCTTAACTTGTTATTCACATTGTGACACTGAAAATCATGCTCAGCTCAAAGACACTCCAAACTGTTCCTCTTTGGCTAGAAAACACTGAGCTATTAGAAATATTGTTTTCAAATATCTTGGAGACTATATAATATATGCCCAAATTGTTCCCTTCTTTTCTGTTTCTTTCCCATCTCCTTGGCATTGAGGAACAAACATAGCATAGGGCTCTCCATCCATACAGGGAGGTTTGCCCTTGGTATGGTAGATCATGTACTGTCACCCCAACACCTAACAACAATTGAGCACATCTAACGATTAAGGGATGATTGGCACCCCATTTTTTGATAATGAAAGCTTTATTAAAAACTCAGTCAAATACACCAAGATGATACATTTCAATTGAGCCCACTCCCGGCCTCTGCATAAAATGCACACAGCCACACACAAAGAAAGACCTATGAAGACCCCTCTCACAAAACAGAAATATTAGTGGCTATCAATCCGTAGACTAGATCGCCAACCATGCTCCTGGGTAAAAAACTCCTGTACCACCTGGTCCAAACATCGTGATACCACCACAATAGTATCCCGAAGACCCGGATTGGCACCCCATGAACACATGAAAAGAAATTATGATAATCGCCGGGGGCCAGCCATGATTACGATTGCCCAATTGTGCACGGTCATTTCATTGAATAGATTGTGAGCATGATGATCGACAAGGCAAACATCAAAGTCCATGCTGTAATCATCAAATATAATGAACTTGGTGGGCTATTGGTTCAGGAACACATAAGCTAGAGCTTAAATGCTTACACCATAAACTAGGAACTAGCTAAAAAGGAGGACCATATTAGTGCCTTCTTGAACCCATGAAACTCACAGCAACTCACTTACACACTACTCCCTCCGTTCCTAATTGATAATCATATTACATGAGTACACCAAGACCAAGGAAAGCCAATAACTCTCTCATACTACATTTACTCCGATAACAAACTTGATGCATGCACCATCCCTATTATTTCCTAGCCAATAACAAACCAAGATATTGCATGTTGGTTGTAAAGGGTTGTGTGCATGGATGCATGCACCAATGTCCATTTACTCTCATATGCATATGACGAAAAGACTTAGGGAATGCATACTAATATATGATCATTTGGGAATAACATCAGAAAAATTATATGGTGATTGATTATAAATGGAAGGAGCATCATACTAGCTCAAGAATTAACTTAATCCGTGATTTAGGGCTTGTTTGGTTTGTTGGCACATAAAACCTTACCAAATTTTGGTAGGACAACCAACCGCGACACTTAAATCATTGCTACCATACCAAGACACAATAAATATTCTAGAAGCTTCCACTCTTAAAACTCTAACAAAAATCTGGCAAGGTTCCAAACCAAACATATCCCAACTCTACCAAACTTTGGTAATCCAACATCTGCCCCAGGGTTGGTTTGGGAAACAAACCAAACATGCCCTTGTAACAAGATGAGGTTTTGACACAAAAGAATCCCAGGGAATAGAATATAGGACTTTGACTTAATGGAATCCAGGATATTCAGCAATAGAACTCAACGGCACTGTGCCTAATGGTAGAGGCCAGAGATTCTTTTGTGGCCATTTCTATTATCTAAAAGAATGGAATCCAGGAAATGGAAGATGGTATTTCGACACAAAGAATCCATGAGAAGAGAAGTGTAATGGCCTGTTCGTGCATCGGTACCCGCCTCCTCTAGCTCCATAATTGTTGAAGAAGAATGCTGATAATTAAGATGGTGGGGGAGGGGAGAACTAAGAAATATCACGCTCATAATGATTCACTTGACTGTGGACAGTATACACAGAGGACCGAGGATAAGGAGGGTCTTCCAAGTTCAAGTGTTCCAAGGGCATACATGGAAATTCAGGATCTTCTCTCTTGATTAGAAGATAATACAATATAATAATAACAAATTCTATCCAAATGTGACATCAATTTTCTAGATTCGCCCCTCACATTTGTAAACCTTTGCAAATAATCTTTGTTTCTACTTTTTTTACTATTTGAAACAGTATGGACCTAAATAAGTGAAACCAAGGCTTAGTAGAAACAATTAACAATAAACATACCTTTTGGGCGACCCTTCCTGGTTTTCTTTACAAGGTCTCGGGGTTGTCTTACACAGAAATCAGTCACCACAACCTCCACCTCCCCTTCTACCATAAGCTTATAAAATATCATGCTGGAGTTAAGTTTAATGGGCGTCAACGGAATTGCTCCAGCAACACTACTACTGGTCCCAGCAGCACTATTCATGTAAAGTCCGTTAATGTAATTCACCACATTACATAGCGCCCTACAATATTTAAACAAGTATATAATATGTTAATAAATGAGCTTACGTATGATTTATATTGTTCTAGTTGATTTCAACAGAATCATACCTGAAAATTTTAAAACCAATATTTGAAAAACCATATATGAAAGAGTCCTCGACAGAGAACATGAATTCTCTGTCTTTAGAGCCAAGAGATGCCTCAACTTCCTCTAGTACCAGGTATGCACTAGCGTCGTCCGAGGGATTCTTCCAGACACCTATGGGTTTCAGCACGTTGGGGTGGTCACATTGGCACAGAATGCGGTATATCGTTTTTGCTTCCTCAATTGGTTTTGAGATTGCAACACAGGGTCCTGTGCTACATGTTGCACGATGTAGTGATGTCCCAGGAATCTTGCTATCATCAATAGCTAACTCACAACTTCTTTGTTCAACTTTGATCTACACAAAAGAATATCAAATGTTATCTGCATGCATGTACTCATATGATTTTTGTTGAAGAAATCTAAGTTCAAGTGAAATTACCTGTCCCACTGGTAAATTACCCACGATATGTGCCCTAAGAAACAAAAAGCAACATTTGAGAGCATATAAAAATTGACAGAAGAAATAACTTTTGCACTTGGAAAATGCGGTCTGTTGACCAGGCCAAAGTAAGTAGGTCACCCAATTTTTGCCCCCAAAGCAATTTTTTTTCAAGAAACACAATACAAACGCAGACGTTCACAACGCGCACACTCACCCATATGAGCATACATACGTACACCCACCACGGACGTCTCATTGTCAACAAGAATGTCACCTACCAGCTATTTATTCTTTCCATGGTAAGTTCCACCACAAGGAACTAACCAATAATTTAGTTTTAACCTAGGTTCCACCCCAACCCAAAATGCAAATTGTTTTGATGATTTGCCCCATACTACTTGAGGAAAACAATAATTTAGTTTTGATAGGTTGCTTAGTATTACTAATTAAACTCCACACCTAACAATCCAATTTAACATATACCCCAGTTCTAAGAAAACCTCTCCACACCTAACAATCCAATTTAACATATATCCTATTTGTAAGAAAACCTCTCTAACATGTCCCTCATGTACAACCCTTCGTGCGGGCCTCCTTGGCAGCGCTCTGATCAGTCTCGTTGGTTTGACTGTGTGAATCTTGGACAGTTGGACCATGGATGGCCCAATGCTCATGATAGGTTACCTTCAGAGCAAAACACATCCATTCCTACTAATGAACAGTAAATTATGTGCCTATGTGGGACACCACCAATAGATGTGCATGTGGAGAACTAAGAGAAATATACAAGGGCAAATTTGGCATCTATGGAAGGTAAAAGCTTAAAATATGCCAAAACGACTAGTTTTCACTACAGTTTGGAGTAAATCATAAGTCCAATATATCCACCGTGGGGCAAAAGCCACTTGGACAACTAACTTCGGGTGGAAGGTCAATTTTCCTAAGTAGAAGAAAAAAAATACAAAACTTAGAGGAAAGGGAACAACTTACAGTACTGAATCAGACTTGGCATCGACATTCACTTCAATGTTTTCCCCACGTTCCATAGACTCTGTGTACAAAGTATATCATCAAATGTACAAATAGGCCAATGTAATTATTAGTGCGAGTAACAGAAGATTCAAACTTTGGTTATATATATACATATACTAGCCAAGCCAAGCCATTTAATGTACACCTTTTAGGCCATTTGTTCTAGTGTAACCAAACTTGTCTTCTGTTTTAGCGCTCAGAACTCAGAAATAACTAGGCGTGGCTGCAGTATGTGTGTGTAGCTGTTTTGCTTCGCCTGATGGCCAATCCACCCATCTCTTCTCTATGAGGCACGGGCACTGCATTGACAAGGTGAGCGCGCGTAGCGCATAAGCGCAGCAGTCGCACGCACACGCAGAAGCTGCGCGAAATGGCCGGCGGCGGCGCATATCGTGTTGTGCGCGGCAGGCGGACGAGCGGATCAGTGCGTACCTGTGCCTCGAGGCGGGCGCGCGGCAGGGCGGGCGCAGGTTTCTCCTCCCTCGACTTGACGCGCAGTGTGGGAAGCTCAGCGCCGCGGACGCGCGCTTCGACCCTGACTCCCTCACCGGCGCGTGACGCAGCAGAGGGAGCAGCAGGTGGCCGGCCGGTACGTTTCGGCAGGGCCTTCCTGGCTTCCTCCGCGCCAGAGAGCGACGCGACGCGGCGTACGACTGGAGAACCGCGCTTGTCCGCCTCCTCGGCGGCGGCGTGCTCACGCACGGGCTTCTCGAAGCGCCCGCGGACGTCGGCTCCCGCAACGACGACCCGCGGCAGCAGGTGGTGGCAGACGGGCGGCGGCGGCGGCGCTCGCGGCCTCCGGCCCTTGCCCTAGCTGGCTAGCGACCGGAGCGCGCACCCCCAACTGCCACCTTCGTTGACGGCCGGCCTTCTCCCTCCCTCGCCCTCAGCGCCGCTGCAACCCGAAGCTGCTAGGCGTCGTCGGCGGCGGCGGCCCCGGGAGCAAGGATGCGGGACGCGGCGCTCGGTGAGAGAGATGGAGAAGGAGCAGGCAGCTGTCCCGAGACGGTGATGGCGACAGGTGAAGCTTATTGCTTCACGCACCTCGCCGTGCTTCCCCCAGCTCCCACTGACATGGCGGGGCCCGGAGACCGCGGGGTCCACCTGCAGTGACATACACGAATTTGAAAGGGTACGGCGAGCTATGATAACGGTAGTCTCAAAGAAAAGGGTGAAAATGAAGCGCCATATCGATATGAGCCAGGTCGTCCACTCAGAATCCCATCCCTTCCATGGATTGGTCATTTGGTCATCCAACTCCCTATTGGCTCATGACCCCAATCTTAAAATTTAAGGGGATGTTTGGTTGATGCCTAACTTTGCCATAACTAAGTTTAGAGTAAGTTTAATAGTATAGCCCACTACTGGCTCCAATTCATCTATAGCTAATCTAATAGCTAATTTATACAATAATTACTTACTATACTATTAATATATGGTCCCACATGTCATACACATATTGCGTCTTAGGGTCCGTGCTGCAGCTGGCTACAGATATATAGCCCGCTGCTTTTCTCTCTCATCTTTTATCTTATTAAAATATGTTTGCAGCTGGCTATTAGTCTGCTATTGTACCTGCTCTTAGGCTAGTTGTGGTATGGTGGCACAAATGTTTGATTTAAATGAAAGTTGTATACCAGGTGTTTTAGAGCCGGTACAATAACAGGCTATAAGACAGCTATAAATATATTTTAAGAAGATGAAAAAACAGAGAGAAAAGCAGCGGACTACAGATTTATAGTCAGTTATAGCACGGACTTTAAGATACAATGTGTGTATAATAGGTGAGACTAGGTATTAATAGTGTAGTATATAACTATTGTATGAATTGGCTATTAAGTTGACTATAAGTGATTTGGAGTTAGTAGTTGGCTATACCATTAAACTTGTTTATCCTACGGAATTTTTTCATAGATGACCCTTTGAATGCAAAGGAATGAACAGTATTTCTATGGAATACCTCGTGCTATACAAATTTTAAGGAAAAAATAATAGGAGGTAGAAGCTCATGAAATCTTTTCTTCGAGTCTTTTATCTCTCCTCTATGTTTTCACGTTTTTCCTATGATTTTATGTTTTACAATCCTCTATTTTATACTTAAAAAATTCCTTTTTTTTTTCTATTCTTACGTTTTCTCAATGCTATGTTTTAAAGAGATGCTTAAATGTTCTATGTTCTTTTAATATGGGTTTTTACCACTTAAAAAAAATAAAACGATTAGTAGTACAAACTATTTTAGGCGACGGAACTGGACAGGGCACTAATGCGTCCGTGGCTCCGACATCGATTTTATCTGTCTTCCATTTAGACCTTGTTTAGTTCCAATTTTTTTTAAAAACATCATATCGAATCTTTCACATATATATGGAGCATTAAGGGCTTGTTTGAAGAAGCTTCTAGCTGTTGCAGTTTCTCCTAAAATCACAAGCTCCCCTAAACAGTACAGCTTATGGTCCAGATTCTGAGAAGCTATAATTGTAGAATCTAGAAAATGAACTAGAAGTCAAAAGCTGGAAAACCAGCTTTTCCAGATTCTTAGAAGCTGATTTCTAACCAGCTGCTTCTCAGAATCTTAAGCTCCCCCAAACATGCCCTAAATATAGATTAAAAAAAACTAATTACAAAGTTTGCATGGAAATCGCGAGACGAATCTTTTAAGCCTAATTAGTCCATGATTAGCCATAAGTGTTACAATAACCCACATGTGCTAATGACGGATTAATTAGGCTTAATAAATTTGCTTCGCGGTTTTCAGGCAAGTTATGAAATTAGTTTTTTTATTCGTGTACGAAAACCCCTTCCGACATCTGGTCAAACGTCTGATGTAATACCCAAAAATTTTCTTTTGAAACTATAAAGCCTCTTTGCTTTGTATGTTCAAAAAGCCTACAAACCTATCAGTAGGGGTGTATAAGTGACTAACCCGTGAACCCACTTATATATCAACATAAGTTGGTTAGTGGTTTAGACCATGTTTAAGGAGCTTAAAATTATGAAAAGAAGCTTGTGAGAATCATTTGTCTTTTAGTTCATTTTTTGGATTCTACAACTATAGCTTCTTAGAATCTAGGTGAAAATCTAGACTGGTTGGGGAGCTTTTAATAGCTGGAGATTCTATGAGAAGCTACGAGGAGCAAAGTTAGCCATTTACACCCTTACCAACTGATACCAACTGATGAGGATGTTAGGTCTCGATCTTTTGATAGGTACTAATAAACAGTCGATTTGGGTGGAGTCGCGACACAACTCGATCCGGCTTCTGAACGAACACGCTACTGAGTCCCGCAATCGCAACACCACGTCTCCTCTAGTTATCAACCGTGCCAAAACCCGGTTGACCTCGCCGAGAAGAGCTTCAGAGTGCAATATTGTTAAGGCTGAATTATTTTGGTTCAAAATTCAGAGAAGCTATTTTCATATTCTTTTGTGCCGTGAAAGATCGGGCTAAATTCTCGGACAGCGTAGGCATAGCCTGGGTTGCTCATGGTACAGCTCGGTATTTCTTTTGGCTTCTTTGGTAAGAAGGATCATTTTCCTTTGCTCAAGAAAATGAAATGTATGCCAAAGCTATCTCTAGAAACATGTCCTCGTGAGTATTTTGATTGGCAAGATGCGATGGAGAATTTTTTTGAGGGCCGTGGTTTTCAATCAGTCGTAAAGATGTATTATGCAGAAGAGACATTTGATAAAGATGTTTTGCTATGGTGGCTTCATGTGGATGACCCTTGTCAGACATGGGAAGATATGACATTTGTGTTGCGACGAAAATTTGTTTATTCACTTGATTCTGTTAGATTTAATTGGGTAATTGATCCATTTAAATCAATTAAATCAAATAAATTCCAAGGTTCATTATGCTAGGAATTCATGTGTATTCATTCTTTTATAGGATATCAATAGGATGAAAAGTTTTGAGAATTAATCCATTTGTTTAGGGAATTGGTAACTTATATCAATTAGTCCTAATTGATGGATGGTTGATGGTTGTGTAGTGGAGGATGGTTCATGGCTAGTTGATGACAATTAGTTGCTCTATTCCTCTTCCTATTCCATTGGTAACTTACATCAATTACTCCTAATTGATTGTTGGTTGATGGTTGTGTAGTGGAGGATGGTTCATGGCTAGTTGATGACAATTAGTTGCTCTATTCCTCTTCCTATTCCATGACTCTTACTCTTCATCTTCCATTCCTCTTATAAAATGAGAATGGATTTGATCTCCCGCGAGAATTGTGAGACACACTTTCATCCATTTTCCAACGCTGTTGCTGCTGTGGTAATCCTATCCCGACGAGTGTGTGCACACGCGTTGGGAGAGTAGGCCTCCGAAACCACGCGCTGCTGCGACGTTTGCACGGACGGGCGGGCGATCAGGTTTTTGGGGAGCGCAAGGCGCGACTACTCACTGTTCATCAACATCTACTTCACCTTCACCAATATGTCGAACACTGGAGACAACGGCAACACTGGATACAAGGAGAAGGAGGCTCCCGTCAACACCAACGGAGGCAATACTGCCTCAAACTCCAGCGGAGGACCATTCTTGGGGTATAACCTTCTTACATTATTTCAATTAGAAGTTTTACTGTTAATGTTCATCGCAATGTCAACATTGTGTTATTATGTGATTGTTGATGCTTATTCTACATTAAGCATGCTCATGTTGATTACATTCACCACTATCACTGGATCAAATCCCATTGTAAATATCATGTTTATTATCTTGTTATTTTGAATTAAAATATGCCGAATTATGACTAAATTTCCAACAGATTCACTGGAAAAGGTTGTTGCTGCTGCTATCCTACAATCTCTAGCTACCAAGCCAACTGATAGTTCTAAAGAATTCCATGAAGAAGATTCTCAGTTATTGCTAAAGGGTGCAGTGCTTGACCAGACAGTTATGCATGAGAGTGGTAATCTTTCTTCTACATTGGGGTTGCATGTTAGTGATTCTTCCTGTGATATTCAGTCTGACCATAAAATTGATGATACTAATGATGCTTCAGATGGTTTATCTATGATGGCATGGGAAGTACACAGTGATGATACTCCTGTTGATGTGAAAGGGCAGCGATCTAATATATTTCAGACTGCGTGCAAAATTCAAGATAAGGTATGCAGAGTAATTATTGATGGTGGTTAGTTTCACAAATGCTATTAGTTCAAATATTGTGCATGCTTTGTCTTTGTCTACGCGGAGGCTTCCAATGCCGCGTAATGTCCAATGGATGAATCAAAGTGGTACACTCAAAATTACTCATAAGGCGAGAGTTAAATTCTCCATTGGAAATTATGTTGATATAGTGGACTGTGATATTGCACCAATGAATGCTTGTCATTTATTGTTGGGTAGACCTCGGCAGTTTGATCTCGATGCTACTCACGGTGGTCGTTCCAATAATTTTTCTTTTATGTACAAGGGCATATATCATGTGCTCAAACCGATGCCGGATACTGCTATTAGGGCAAGTTTTATAGTAGGGGTAGTTGTCACATCTAATTTTATCCATGTAAGATAAGCGGTGATATATACAATACACCACATCTACACCACCTCTCTCATTATAACCCAAATAATTTTATTTTATTTGTTTGTCCAATCCCCTCTTTCTTTCATCTCCTTTTTCTTGGGGTTTGTGTGGAGGTTGCCCCTTGCATGAGAGGTGGCTCACATTCTCTTTCCTCAATTATTACTTCCACCTCATCATTCAATCCTACATGACATTTTTAGGGGCAACACATTAAGCATCATAGTACTTGCCCTTAAGGCTGAGGTGTTTGCTGCTTTGAAAGTGAAGAAAAAGGCTATTGCTCCTACCTCAAAGCCGAGGACGGCTTTACTTCAAGAGGGAGAGAATGATGTGACCGTACGTTCTAAAATTATTGCTTATGAGAGCTCAGGTGAGAATGCAATTGCTCGCACTTCTGAATGTTATTGGTACTTATGGGAATTTTGATGGCAATTCTTCTTATGTTTCCGCTTGCACCATTAAATATGATTTTACTATGCTATCCGA